ATTGATGTATTATAATTAAATGTAACAAATTGTAATACTTCATCCCAGTCTGTACGTCGTTCATTACATAAAGCGGCAATTTTTCCATCCATAGTTGCATTGAATCGTTCAATTTGTCCATTAGTTTGTGGATGATATACTGTGGAATAAAGATGAGTGACTCCAATATTTTCAAATAATTTGTTCATAACTTGAGAAGTAAAATGAGTACCATTATCGGTTAATATACATGTTGGAGTGCCATATTTTAATATAACATCGTTTATAAGAAATTTCACTGCTGTTGTTGCTGAGCAATCTCGAACAGCTTTTGTGATAACAAATTTTGATAATACATCTGTTAGAGATATAATGTATCTATTTCCTTTTTTTGATGTTGGAGTTATTGGACCATGAAAATCCATACTTAATAATTTCCATATTCCTTCTGGTGGTGGTATTGGTTTTAATTTTCCCGGTAATTTTTGACGACGATAATTATTTTGTGCACATGGTAAACATGAATCTAAATGATTTCTAATATCTGCTATCATTGTTGGCCAATAATAACGTTCTTGAATTTTTCTTATTGTTTTGTCACGTCCAAAATGAGCTCCATTAGCAGGTGTATCATGATAAATTTTTAATATATCACCACGTATTCGTCCTGCTGGAACATATGGTACAGATAGAAGTGGTAGTTGTTGTTTTTTAAATAATATTCCATCTTCAATAAAATAATGTTTTTTATTCTTAATATTCTTTTTTATTTCTTGAATTGTTTTATCTTCTTCTTGACATTTTCTTAAGTCATCCATATCAAATGGGATGATCTTATTTGGATTTTCATCTGATGGTTTGATTATCAGTTCTTCATCAGTCGCTACTTTCCCTTGTGGGATGAGCTCATTCATTTTTTCATTCGTCGGTTTAATAGGTGGTGTTGCCATTGCTTGTTGTTGTAATTTGGCTTGAGCTCTAGTAATCGCTGTTGTTATTTTTAATGGAATCAAATTATCATTTAATGATGAAAATGATAAATCTGTTTGTGTTGATGTTGATTCATACTGAGTTCGTTCTTCAATATCTTCTTCAGCTATGTCGACTGGTGATCTTGAAAGATAATCTGCCATATGATTTTTCTTACCTTGAATATGTTTCACCTTAAATCGATATTCAGCTAATTTTAATCGCCATCGTTCACATCTTTTATTTAATTGTTCTTTGTTTGCAAAATGAATTAATGGTTCATGGTCAGTTTCTAATATAAATTCATGCCCACGAAGATATTTGTCCCATTTTTCTATTGCTTGTACTATTGCATAACATTCTTGTTCAATTGTTGGCCAATTAATTTGTGTTTTTGTTAATTTCTTTGACATGTATGCTAATGGTCGATCACCATTGGGGGTCATTTGTAATAGAACAGCCCCAATTCCATCTACAGAAGCATCAGTTTGTAATTTAAATGTTAATGTATCATCAGGTAAATCAAGAATTAGATCAGTTGTTAATATTTTCTTGAGTTGGTGGAATGCTGTTCTAGCTTCAGCAGATAATTCAAATTTTAATTTTCTATTATTCTTTTGTTGTTGTACTGTTGCTGGAGAATATTTATGTAATGGTGCAGCGATGGTGGAAAATTTTGGAATAAATTTTCGGTAATATTCTGCTGCTTTGACGAATCTAAATGCTTCTTCAGCTGATGTTGGTTCACGTGTTTCGGTCAAACCACGGATGTTGTCTGGATCAGGTTTAATAGTACCTGCTTTAATTACATGTCCAAGAAATAATATTTCTGCTCTTGCAACTTCGCATTTGTCAACATTTAATTTAAAATTGGCTTCTTGTAATAATAAACATACTTCTTCGATATGTTTTAAGTGTTCATTAAAATTTTGTGAATAAATAATAATATCATCGATATAGGCGAGTACATGTTTCCATCTGTTTGGACCTAATATTTGATTAACAATACGTTGAAATGTTGGTGGTCCATTAGTAAGACCTTGAGGTAATACTTTGAACTGAAAGTGTCCATCTCGAGTTGAAAATGCTGTTTTTGGTCGATCTAATTTATCTAATGGTACTTGAAAATAACCTGCTTTGAAATCGAATTTTGTAAAATATGCTGCTTTTGTTAATTGGTCATAAATATCATCAATTCTTGGTAATGGGAAAGCATCTTTTGTTGTAATTTGGTTTAAGCGACGATAATCGACGCAAAATCTTGTTGTTCCATCTTTCTTTTTTACTAAAACGACAGGTGAAGACCATGGTGATGTTGAATGTTCAATAACTCCATTTTTTAATAATTTATCTGTTTCTTTTCTTAAGGTTTCTTGAT